AGGGAGTTATTGGGGTACCTCAGCGGGTTCACAGTCAGCAGGTAGTCTCCGAGCCCAGGGACCATCCCTTGGCGGATGGAAAACCCAATGGTGCCACCCAAGTATGGGTAGAACTCACTGCCGGCAAAGAGGGAGGCTGTTACCCAGGCTTCACTGGCGATCCACTGGATGCCAGTGATGTTCTGTTCCATGTACTCCTTCAGGAATGGTGTGAGCTCTCCTTCAGCAGAGAAAGCCACGACCACTTTTGCAGTAGAATGCCTCATCACATCCAGAATTTCCAGGGCTCTCTGCCTGGTGTAGAGCAAGGGAATCATGACGTGATAGGCGATGCAGACGGTTGTGTTTGCCAGCTCCCTCCTGAGCCCTTGCAAGGCGAACCTGCCATATGCATGGTCCCCGTTAAGCACTCCCACCCACGTCCATCCAAAGTGCTGCAGGAGCTGAGCAATAGCCTTCACTTGGTAGTCATCGCTAGGTATCACTCGGAAGAATGTGGGGAACTCTCTCCTATTGCTCAGGCAAGCACAGGAGGAAAAATAACTTATCTGAAAACAGCAGAAGAAAATGCAATGCATACTTTTGGGAATAAGGGGGAAGTTAAAAGTAGCTTAGCTTTTAGAATTTTAGCTTTTGATGTTCTGGATACTTCTGACAGCACAAACACTGGATGTGTCACATGAAAGATGTGTATGATGAATATCTACCTGAGTAAGATGAAGAAACACTTGTACAACCCAAACAGCAGTTCCAGAATTTTGAACCTTATCTAAGTGTGTATCACTGATAAATTCCAAAATTACGCAGAAAAACATTTTCTGTGATATGATCAAATTGCATCCAGATTGATGTGATCAAACTGTCCGTTGCGGGACCAGTCCAGTGTCTGGATTGCAGACACACTGATACATGTTACAGGATTTATCAACTGTCTGTGTTTTTTTTCTCAGTGAAATATTGATTCATTACTTCAGTGGGCGTCTGGCTTGCATTCGATTTTTAGAAAACAGTATAAATGATTAATTACAGCACTTCCCCTCAACACACAAGCCCTTGAGAAGTCAGAGGTGGTGCAGACTGACACCTCCGCAGACGGGTGAACGGCCCACCACCCTCTGCTTTTCACTCTACAGACCACAAGCTGTACCCAAGGACAATACGCGTTTGGAGGAGCGCACTGGCTGGTTGACTCCGTGCTGCTGACACATGGAAACAGTAATTGGTGCTGTAGAGCGACGAGAGGGGGAGGGAGACCCGGTCATGTCTCACACACACAATAGAACCCAAGGCAGCAGGGAATCAAGCTCAGCTGCAGGATGTGTTACGCTTTGGCTGGCAGCTGCATCCCATATTATCACAGCACGCCTGCTCTTACAAATAGGCTTAACAGCAGTCTGATGACTTTGGCATTTATTTTCTGCCTTACACATTGTGGGAAGCAGGCATGTAACCAAGCAACAAATCTGAGCATGTTTTCTGCTCCAAATACTCTGCCATACAAATGCAAAACAGTGTAAATGTATATTTTATCCTGCATGAGTTATGGCTGAAATGGGATCTCTTAGGCTTTGTTTTATGTTGTAAGAGAATATCTTAGTTCATCTATGCTCAGTTTTGAAGAAATCACATCCCTGCTTAATACACATATGGGTGGACAGCTCTGACGTCCCTTTTCTCAGTTTCAGTGTGGGCTTAGGTACCGTGTCATGTCTTTGTAGGGCAGTTCAGGCGGCCAACATAAATGCTCACCATTGGAATGCGAAAAGGCTGCAGGATCCTAGAGACAATGATCGACTGTGCGGAGCCTGATTCTCCAACCACAGCCAGAAGAGGAGATGGACCAGAACACATGGCGCTCTGGGTTTCACTAGGTCCATTCAGCATAGCCAGGGCTGCCCGCTGTCCGGTCAATGGATATGCACAGGAGTCAAGGATCTTGTAGCCCAGGGTGTGGTTGGGTAGCAGGTGCTGACTCCGGTTGATCTCCTCCACAGCGAACCTCAAACTTTGAGACCAGCGGAAAGCCCTGGGGTCAAACCTGCGGAGAGATCGACAACAGAAGTCGCCTTTGAAATTGCAGCTGCGCAAAACGTCACCTGTGTTTCCCAGGGAAACGTCAGCATCAAGCTTTGACAAAGAAAGTCAAGAATCAGGGAATGAAACTTACCCATGACACTGTGTGGGCGACGGCTTGTAAGTACAGTTCAGGTCTGGCATATCCATGACGTAGTGCAGAGGGAAAATGCCCCCAATGATGTAATCTCCATCAGCTAAGAAGTTTGGTTCAAAGGGGCCCTGCAGAGAGCAGCTGTAGGCTGGAGTTTGGGTGATGCTGGCGAACCCGAAGACATAAACGTGGTTAAATAGGGACCACATGAGCAGAAGAGCCATCTTCTGACAGGCTGGTGCCACATTGGGGGTGGGCAGAGCCAGAGGGGCTCTTTTATCCACCACCCTCTCCACCTCGTACCTCAATACACATCCCCCTGGGATCATCTGTTGCCAGGAGGGCTCATAACATCCCTTAATGTCTAGGAAACATATTGGCTTTGTATCTCAGACGCGGAACTGGACCACCGAATCATTCACCAATAAGGGGACTCAGCTGCCTGGTGGAAATCTTATGTGTTGACATCAGTGTCATTTTGGTCATCGTCCTTTGCTTTATTACCAAGGTTAAAATTTGCCATGTAAATACCGAAGGCGTTTCGCTGAAAAAATACGGCAACATCGGGTTGTTACACATTAGTTACAAGAACACAAACAATTAGAGGTCACAGTAAATGCAGAGGAGGGGAAGTTAAGCATGAGTCTAATAAAATGATATATGTATAAATACTTTTTTGTATGAGATGTACCATATGGGGCCTGGTTTGTACATCAGGGACACTTCTGGGATTTTCTGTGATCATCATGGGACTTTTCTACAACATTAACTGTGCTGTGCACGAGGCTGAATGCGAAGAGAAGTTTATATGTCATCTGCAGCTCACCTATTCAATTGAAATGATACCATACAGGTAAATGTATTTCCACCAGGAATGGGAAGTAGTCATTCCTCGGTGAGTCAAGTCTCAAGTCAAAACATTGCGGTTCAAGTCAAGTCTTGAGTCATTTGCCCTCAAGCTCAAGTCTAGTCCAAGCCTTCCCATCATATTTGCTGTTAAGTCACAAGTCATCAAATTTGTGACTCCAGTCCAAGTCAAATTGTGAGTCATGTAACGTACTGTTACCTATGTCAGTTTTGTTGCCTATAGTGACTAAACCTTGCTGCAGTGAAAACCGGCCACACAGCACCATACCCAGGGTTTGAGAAATAGTGAGATCCGGAACACAGGGGTTTGGATCTCGTCAATCACACATAACGTTATTTGTAACCATATATAAACATAAAAATTAAAAAGAATTGCTTGATATTAATACTTCATTACAAGCTAACATCAAATACATTAGTTTTAATACCCAAATCTGGGTTTGAAATGTTTCTATGGACACTATTACTGATACTGTCCCCATCATAAACTGTGTATAAATATATATTATTCATTATTAATGACATTATGTGAATCGCTCGCCTAATCTTGCCCATTAGGCTTAATAAGAAAGAAACCCAACATGGCCAGAGTAGCCTAACTTACACTTATGTTTAACTAATATTTAAGTTTATCTTTACTCCAGACCAGGAGTGTCGTTAATCCTATTTTACGGGAGTTTTAGTCCCATTTTTAGCCCCCTCCCCACCCCAAAATAAATATGCATTTATTGGCTTAAGTCATGAACAGCTTTTTATAATATATATAGTATCTTATACACTACAGTACATACTGTAATCAATCCAAACGTAACATCGCTTTTCCAAAGTCACGTTTCCGGCTATGTTCAGGACCCGGAGAAGGGGTTACACTAAACCAGTATTTCAGTTGATTGCCAAAATGTGTGGGGCTTTAGTCTTCGGCAGAGGCTGCAGCAGGTGGGGCTTCCGAGGAGGAGTGTAAGAGGAGAACGAAGATATATATTCAGACAACTTTTAGCCAAAGCGGGAATTAAATTTAGGAAGCTTTACAAAACTTGATAATGTGAATATTTTTAAGTAGCCAGTACAGTAACTACGTGTGTTATACTGAACACATTTGGCAAGACCAACTACAGGAGCCTCACATG